CCCCCCTGAAATATTATAATGCTCTCGTCTTACAATTAACCATGATAAATCAGATTACGACACTGGTATTATTCTTTCATCGCCTTCGCGTTGACATCGATCAAGGTGATCTTGACGCGAAGTGCGCGTGCACCCTTTTTCGGCTGTGGCGTCAGCATATCGTAGTCGTAGGCAATATCATCCCATTTACTATCGTATATCTCCATACATGAAATGGAACGGAGAACCATAGCCGCCACGATGAGGTAAAGCTCGCAGAATGCAAGGCTGGGCGTAAATGGTTAGCAAGTCAGCTACTGTGATGCGGAGTGGGACGTGGGTACTTCATGCCAAGGCATTGGCGAGTTCCTCTGCCGAAACAAGTCATGTATTTCTCCAGCGCCTTGTTCTTCTGTCCGCGGTCATCGATCCAGCGCTCGGGTACAAACTCATACGAGTTAGGAAACACGTTCTCGTCGTGGTGCGCTATAGACGCACTCATGCCTATGGCGGTGCCTCGGGGGACGACGTATTGGTAGCCTCCGTTCTGGTAGTAGAGGTTCTCGTTACGTGGGACCAACGTAAGACGCGAGGACATCCCGTACGACAACCGAAGACCCTCGTAGATCACCGCATTCAGGTAGGATTGCTGCTCCAGCTCACACCAAGACAGCTCCCATGCCTTTCAAGTTATACATCCCAGTGAACTTCAAGGATCGACAGGTTTGATTCATTACTCTCAATTACCCGATGAAGGACGAATCGCTGATCTGCCGCTGTGAGAAGCGCTTTCCATTCGTCCAGATGTTCTGTCGTAGCTGTTGAAGTAGAACTTCAACGCTATGTCAACCGACCTAGGGTAGTTTTATGAATCAGCATACGAGCTCGCCTATCTTATGATATAGTTGCATACCTCAAAAGTCGCTCTCTCCATAATGGACTATCACTGCCCAGCGCTGGCAGGACTGCATCCTGAATGAGGATCTTTGCTCCGGGTCGAAGGGCGGGAATCTGAGCTTGCAAGATTTTGATAGCCTTCTGATCGGTCCAAGAACGGAGGATCATACGAAAGAAATAGACGTCTGCTTGCTCCGTCTGAGTTTCAAAGAGCTCGTGTGGCATGAACTTGGCGCGCTCTTTCAATGATTCGGGGACGGCCGCGTCGGCGCCGTCGATAACCGCTGCCGAATCCTGGACAAGCAGCTTGAGGTTCTCAAACTTATTTGCCAGGTCAATCGCGACTGATCCTCGTTGCCCACCCACGTTCACGATGCGTACATCACCGAGGGAAGCCCAATTGTAGAATGTGGCAACAAAAGCGTCTCCGCAACCCGGCACATGATCTAGCGCTTTCGCCCCGCCCGCAAAACGCTTCGCTGCCTCAGGGTCTGAGCCCAGTACTTGAAATACTGACTTTCCCCCGTTGGCAAGGGCGTAGGCCTCCATATATTAGTCTAGGGGTCGCTCGAATTCATGGTATTTTGTGAACGCGTCGGTCAGACATGGAACATGGTCTAGACTCACAGTCTCATTGGCTTCTTCGGAGTACGGCCATTTCTCTATGGCTTCCCCAATCTGGTGTAGGGTATCTGTGTTAGAATGAGGCTCTGTGTGTTTTATAGGAATATAGCCCTTACTCTCGGAATAGCTAGCCAGGTATCGTGGCTTTCAAATGTAGCCCAGTCACCTATATATGGGATGGCCAAAAACTTGGAGGTCTTGGTATGTGCCACCACATCGGGTTCGGGTTCTATCAGGATGTGTATGGATATCGCATGTCGAAGCAGGCGTCTGACTAACCTCTTGTTGAGATTCGTTTTCTGGGCGATTTCTTTAAAAGTAGCTTAGCCGCCAGGGGGGATTATGTCCAGAATCTTGAATCGGACAATTGAGTCAATACTGACGACATTCGAGACCTTGAGAACATTAGTTTCCGGATACCTAGCGGAGCTTAAAAGATCATTACCCCGGCAACTTTGTAAATCAGCTTCAGAGGTTCCAAGAGAACCTTATGGAGCTCAGCAGTTGTATCTAACACTTTATCTCGAAGTTGGTGTAAATTCGAAGGGAGGTATGGAGGGCTGTTCTCAGCCCAGGATGGATTTTCCAGTCCCTGGGCTGCCAGACCTACTTGCAGCTCTGCTACCAAGGAGGTTATCTTTGCAGCTAATTCGACGATCAAGGGGGCGGCGTTGGCTAGTACTATTTTGACCTAGAAGCAGTGCGGTGAAGTGTAAAACCTTAGGGGAGGGTGTGGGTGTGATAGGCGAGGAGTGGTACCTGATCTAACAGATACCTGATGTGGAGGTAAAACTTGAAAGAGAGAGTTCTGATTGCTGGCTTCGATGTCTTCCAGGTTTGGGATATGTATGGACGACTTTTTCTGATTCGCAAGGACCGGATAGAGCGGTATATCTTCCATCCGAATGTGACACAGTATCAGAACTGAGCTGTACGCCCCCGCCCCCAGGAACTTTGGTTTCATTAGAGCAAAGGGTCGCAGCTATTGTCTCGCCGGCCAGACCACCAACCAGCAGGAATACGAGGTTGCAATATACAAAGCAAGGCTAACGGGATATTCAACTGTATTTAATCAGAGCTTGATTAAAGCAGGCTTGGCAGGTTAGTAGCTCAGCTGATGTTGCTGATCGACCCAATTATCGATAAGGGGTGAGAGATCCCACTAAATCTGCCTAGCCTAGTGCATTTTTAAGCGCCTAGCGAATGGGGCAATTGTTGCGGGGGCGGGACATCTCTATGCGCTACTTTAGCACAGACTTTATTATATGGACCTTTTGAACCTCCGATTTTCAGATGTATTATTGTGTTGGTCCATCCTGATGCATTGTGTTGGATCAATGCTGACGCGGTATCACAACGGGATTAGCGCTCAACGGGATTAGCGCTCAACAGCGCGTGAAAATTTGTTATGTATTTTTATCACTATAAACCCTAGTAAAGGTACCTCCCGGGTCTTCAATAAGGGAGGCAGGAGCGATCGACTTGATGCATAAGGGGTCTGCCGAGAAAGGGGGTTGTTGCGTAACAATAATACAGCACTAACAACAACAATTGAATGCACATATTATTAACCCAAAAGAGCACTTATTACGAGTCGTATTTGTTTGAAATCCAACATATTGGCCTGATTTGTGAGCACGATACAATTAAGCATCTGGGGTTTAAATTGACCTTCTTTCAAGCCACCTCTACCATGATCGTGTCGGCAGCCTTGGAATATTATTAGCTAGCTTAAAATGAACTGTGACGATACCGATTATGAGGTGCTGGCAAGTCAGATTGAATCACTTCTTAAGCGTCCAGATGGTGCTCTACAGATCAGGGATGAAAACACTCGCCGCCGCCTAGTCGAAGGCGCGCGCAAGCTGGTTGGATCTCGGAGTTGCCGAGAGACATGTATCGCAGGATGCAATACTCAGTTTGTTGAGCCCATTATTCCTTCTACTGAAAGCTGCGTGACTGACTGCAGCCATCAATAGCATCTCGTGCTACCTCTGGCTGTCGTCGGAGTGGATACTGGGGTCTTCTCCGTATTGGCTTCTGAAAACCGTCCCTTTTGCAGTACTGAGCTTGCTAAGAAGACTGGCGTGGATATGCAGCTCTTGAGTAAGTAGAATCTATCCTGCTACCATAGTATAAAGGTGCTGATAACTTTCAAGGAGATTGTTGCGATATTACCAAGCCACCGATGCGATTTCTCAGGTTGATGTTGATACCTACCAGTCGGGCCCTGTGGCCAATGTTCTGAGTAGCGACAATCATAGCGATTCACTTCGATTCACGTAGGTATCTATTGCAAACAACTAGATTACCTCCGTTGACGAATTTGCATAAGACATAAAATCACTGCGCAAGGGAGCTCAAATCTTCCAGATTGGCTCCGATCAATTCAGTATAGTTGCTCTGTTGGCGTTTCTCCGACAGCTTGGACAAGCTCGATTCCCAGCGAGTTGGATCCCTTTACTTATCTGAAACACAATCCTTGGGCATTGAAACATTTCCAATCGCATATGATAGCTCAAAGAGTTGGGAGAAAATCGCTTATCGATGCTTTCGACTTCAAGAAGCACTTAAATACCCAAGATATAAGCAGCTCAACGTTTCTATTTGTTGACATTGGGGGCGGAACTGGTTCCCAGTCTCTTGCATTCCGGAAACAATATTCAAACCTTCCTGGGCGGGTTGCTCTCCAAGACCGGACAGAGGTTGTAGAGCGCGTCAAACCAATGTTTGCAAGTATTGAGGAATATTGAGGCAGAGGTTTACGATTTCTCCACTACACCGCAGCCTATTCGAGGTATGCGCCAGTCATGCCCTAGGTACTTGTTATGAGACTTTCCAGCTGACTTTTCTTTTCTTTTCTCTTCTTCTAAATTCAGGAGCCAGGGTCTATTACATGCGAAGCATCTTCCACGCTTGGGCAGATGCCAAATGTGTGGAGATCTTGCTCAACATTAAGGCAGGCATGACCGAACAGTCGGTGCTCATGATTGACGAAATAGCTATCCCCGAAACGAACGCTAAGGGCCAGGCGGCCCAGAATAACTTAAAGGTCATGATTTGCGTAGGTAAGTCCCTAGAGTCTCCTTGATGTATCTTCGAAATCTGGGATACAAGGCCGCTAAGTGACGAGTGGTATAGGTGGCGTAGAACGCACTGAAGGTCAATGGGCAAGCCTGCTAAGTGGCGTCGGGTTGATTGTTCATGAGATAGTGAAATATGACGAGGATTATGAAGACGCCTTAATCATTGCAGGTCTTGCTTGACCGTGTGTATCAGGACCGCTGGCACATCCAATAACTGAGAGTTGCCTAGAAAGCTATTCAAGAATACACGTCAGAACCCTCCTCATTGATTTATGGGTAGAACTCCTCTATCTAAAGGTTAACGAACGTCTAAATAAATTGCAGCGTAACCAAGTTTTACTTCCTACTAGCCATCAAGTAATGTACTCAAGTGGCAGGGAGATAGATAATATGGAAGACTCTAATCTAGTTGACTATATTAATTGTTTCCCCAATAGTACCAAGATAGATGACCATGAACGTTAAGAATGATAATTAAAATATGATACACGTTATATAACGATGTATACCTAGAAAAACAAAATAGCCCTCGTGCCTTTACCAGTGGTATACAATTGACTGATTTACTTCCTTCATCCCTAAACAGCTTGTTCGTGGAAACTCAAAATAGGGATCAGGCTCAAAGAGCTTGGAAGCATTGGAAATTTTCATGAGGACACGTCCTTACCTGGAACTGCCTCCTTAACCTCCTCTGCTGAGCGATCGGCATATGTACCGTCAGGTTTGGCTTCTGTATCTTCCATCGCCTTCTTTCGGATGTCATTCCATCCCATCGCCCACGAGGCAAACCAACAAAGCGCTCCGAAGGCCGCCCCCAAGTAGTAGACCCGGCCCAGGCTGTTTGGGTATGCAACTAATATACCGTCCAAGTCTGCAGGCGAGACGATGGAGCGATAGCCGGAAGCACCGGCATTAACAATAGCTTGTGGGTCAGCGTCGGGCGCATATTTGGCGATTTCCGTCGGCAAATTCTCCAGAAACATCACATTATAGACGGTATTCGCGATGGCCGGTCCGATCGCCCGACTAAAGACCATGAAAGCAATACCGGAGGCCAGCTCTTCGCCGTCCATCGCAGCTTGCACGGCGATAAGAGGCTGGAGTTGATAGAAATAGTCAGAACTACGCCGTAAAGGTGGGTCTGTTGTTGCGTAAGAATACGTACCATTTGCAGCCCTGATCCGCTGCCAACGCCAAGAAGGATCTGGAACCCTACCCAACGGGCAGTCGAGGTGTCTGGTTGAAGGAGGGAGAGAAGGCCTGTTCCAATAGCAAGGTAAACTGAAGCGACCAGGGTTATGGGAATGGTAAACTGAAGCGACCAGGGTTATGGGAATGGTATAGCCGACCTTTTGTACTATATTGAATGTTAATGCATCCCACACGCCAAGCCATCTATGGACGGGGGCTCCGCAACTTACCTATGCCGCCTGAAGCGCCAGCGAATACAAGTTGGAATAGAATCAATGGAAGAAGAAATACACCACTCTTTACTGGACTCTCGCCTTTGACAGCTTGGAACCAGATTGGGAGATAATAAATTGCCGCATATAGCGCTGATGTCTGGCAAGCGTTGTATAACGATGAGGCCAAGACATTTCTCTGGCGGATCAATGCACGAGGAATCATCGCATCTTCTCCTCGGTATCGATTCCACAGTGCCCAGACGACGAAAGTCGCCGCCGCGCCGACGAAGAGGCCGATTACCTGAGAAGAATTCAACTTATAGATCCGGCCGCCATATTGAAAAGCGATGAGTAACTGTACAATTGCAGGCGCGAATAGGAGAAAGCCAACGAGATCAAGATGGTGATGCTGCCTCGGTAGCAGCGATAAAGCTCTCGGTTTGATTGTCGGTTCAGGAATCCGTAGAAGGACTATGGAAATGACCGCTAGGGCGCCAACGGGTAGGTTGATATAGAAACCTGATAAAGGTCAGTGGGCAAAATACTCGGCCAATTTGTTCAAATGCGAGGTAAAGTAGTAAAGCGGACATACACCAACGCCACGTAACATAAGACGTGAAAAGACCTCCGATGAGAGGCCCTACAACGAGTCCAAGGAGATTGAGATTGACTGTTGATTGCTAGTAAGTACGAGTTGTATATAAGGCGGATCAAGTAGGATCCATAGGCAACTCACAAGCCATTGTGAAACCCAACAGTACTAGCCAGGATTGCGCGTCAGTCCCTCTTCAGGTCAGACGTTGTGTTGTAATCAATCTCGCTCACCTGCTCGCTTTTCAAGAGGCGCGCTGTTTGATATCATTGTGATGGTACCAGTCGCAACACCGGCGCCGCCAAAGCCCGTGATGAAGCGACCGCCAATAAGGACGGCCGACGAGTTGGCAGCACCGCAAATGACGGAGCCAAGCTCGAAGATGGCAAAAAGGACCAAAGGTCCACTGTTGCAGCAAGATCAGACAGAGCTCGAAACACGAGAGGCGGCGAAGGCTCTATACGAACTTTTGTATTGAAATACTTGTAGATTTTTCCGGTCAATGGTTGTGGTGCAGCACTTCATCCACGGAAACAGCAGTGTGAGACAGTTGAACACATATATATGTGTGTGTGTACATGACAGACTTACCTTCCAACCTGATAGGCACTGGCGTACCAACCGACGTCGGCGAGGGAATGAAACTGGTCAGTGATTTTCGGGACGGCCTATGTCACACAGTCAGTTAGTTTGTGATCAACGTGGAATACAAAGACGCAACCTACTGTGCTGACGATCATGAGATCTAGCATCATGAGGAATTTGGCAAACCCGACAGCGGCTACAAGGATGACGAGGTTGACGTCGGTCACATACTCGGGATTTGGCACTGGCTCGATGATAGCGGCATGCTTCCCCGCGTCGTCGGCACCTGTACTGATAGCAGACTGAGAGACGGCAGCGGGCCCGGAAGCGGAATCGCGCTCGGAGGACTGGGATACAGCTATCGAGGATTCTGGAGCCACTAGCGATTCGCTAGCTGTGGGTGGTGATAGACGCGGGACGCTGAGAGAGCGGGGGGGGAGAAACGAAACTTGAATTTGGAAAAGAGAGGCTCAGAGCTGGGCAAGTTGGCCAGCGTAGGCTGTCGGCTTGTATGGGAAAGGCGACTTGCCCAAGAATTCATTCTGCATTAGCATGGTCCTATTACTAATAGCATTGAAAACAAACAGGGCATGGCAATAAGTGCACGGGTGGTGTAGAATGATCAGCCTACATAAATTCACGGCTTCAGTTACATTGCATAGGAGTGCGTATTGTTGGCTAAGAGCAAACAGCAATGACACCCACTCGGCCTTTGCTGCATTTATCACGGATATGTACATGCGCTCACACCCCCCCCTCCCGTCGCTCCAAGGGTCTTGGACGGAGAAGTCTCCGTTTTCTTCTTTGGCCGTACCTGCTGTGAAACGTCGGAGCCTCGCAATCCTCAACATGGATTGCCGTTACATGGAATCCTTTAGTCCGAAGGGTTGCGTCGCGGCGACATCAAGAGTTGCAATTTCGTCTGGTGTCGCCTTTCTTCGTTTGTCGAGCTCCCCCCACGCTGACAGCGCATACTTATATTGGTTATGACAACGCATATTGATAACTAAGATCAGGGTAGCAGTGTACGCATGCGGGACGTCACTAAGGTCAGGATAGGTATTTGTATTCGAAGTAGAAGCGG